TCTCTAAAATGATTTACATGTGTCTTACCCTAAATAACAAGTTGATATTTATCTTTTAGAAATTACATATATTACTTTATGGTTACTTCAAATTTTATAATTTTTTTTATGCTAATATTTACAAAGTAAAGAGAATCATTTTTAAAAATTTACTTACTGAATTAAATGCTCTTAAAAAAAATAAAATCAACCAAATTGTTCTCGTTAGTACGTAGAAAAAAGTTTTCGTTAGATACAAAAATGGTTGCTATTCAAACACTATTTTGGCTATGTCGAATTAATAAATGATGTTCTTTGCACATGATTAGGTAATGCGTGACAGTTTTAATAAAAGACATGTATGTATGCGGCATATCATGACACTGAGTGCAGTAAAAGATGATTGGACTCTTTATTATGCTAACATCTGCACCCAACGACTTGACTTTTAGTGGTTTTTCGATAAAGCAGTAAAGAAGCAGATAGTAGTGTTAAGTTCAACAATTATTATTCGACATATTTTTTTTTAAAAAAAAATTATTGTTTGTTTATTGATTGGTGCATAAAAGAACAGATAGGACGAAAAAAAGTAAATGCATGAAAACAATTAGGCGTAAATTTAAATAGTAGAGAAGAAAAGGAAATAGCTGATACTTCGCCAAACAATACTCAAGCAAATGGTAATTTAATTATATTCGTTATCTTGAATGTATAAAATTTTACGTAATCTCGGATTTTCAAAAAAAAAAAACTAAATCATTATTTCTCATTTATACAAGTTTATCGTTTATCTTTTATCTAATCCTGATTAAGAAAATATTAAAGCAATGCTATGCCCACGCTCTTACATTTCATCTGACATAATTTTCATTTATGTATCAACTCATGACTTTCTTTATGCTAAAATATCATATTCAAAAAAACCTATACGTATATATGTATTTAAGTGTACGTACGTATTAAGAGTAGGTATTAAGTATATTAAGCGTATTAAGCATATTAAGTATACGTATTAAAAATTCATTCTATATACGTATAATTGCTTACATATTACATTACTATATAGTTGCTATCTTTCTCTTTTTTTGAAGCATTGAGATCTTTGCATCATTTTTCTTAGTTTTCTTGGCTCTTCTTATTTCATATATATAAATAAATAAATATGTATATTATAAATATATATATGTATATATATTATTTATTTATTTATTTATTTATTTTAAAAATATTTACTACATATCGCATTCAGGATACATATAACTATTCTCACGACAATTTAAGGGTCCAATATATCCAAAAATATCAAAGAATCGATCTTTCATTCTTTCGTCAAAGAAAATTTGTTATAATAATTATTTTTTTTTATTATGCAAAATAAATTCATTGACTCTGGTTTAATTGATGTTTATAGTTATCACAAGTTTATCACATTACTCTACGTCATCTTATACATTAAATTATTAATTACATTCATAGTGACAAATCTCATCATGCGGAAATTGATTTAATCATAATTGATTATTAAGATGATTAACTTTTTTTAACGTTTAGATGACATAAAAATACTATAAAAATTGTATATGATATATAAATTTGACGTATATAAATTATTTTAATAGTAAATTCAACTCATTTAACATACAGTAAGGTATGTTATTTTTAAAAATTTTCATTGATGCAACGAAATGTGGAAAATCGCAACGATCCATTCCTAAAAAGTCTATCATGATAAATGAACAGATATGGAAAATAACCAACCTAAAATGAGTCACAAAGATTGGCAAACTTCTAGTGATGAAATTCCCACCAACCGAACAATAGCCAAACCGGCAAGTAAACCCAAGTAAGTGATAAATGGTTTATGCAATTCCGATGCCAAGTAAATCCCCATGAAAAAAATCAAAACGTGTACCTATTTTCTTTTCGATTTTACTTTGGTAAGTGATAGATATGTATGACGAAAGATTATTGGTCACTCAGTTAATCATGATGCATCAAATGTGATTGTTTGGTTAATCCAATTTTGGTAGGAATTCCTCAACAACCAATACAATTACCTTTCTTTTATAATAATGATCCGGGAATTAACCAATAAAATAATTTGTAAATTTATGATGAAACTCGATTGTAAATGCATGTTGGCTAGTTTGTGTTCACTAATATATTTTATACACATGATGATAGATGTAAAAAAAAATAAAAAAAAAAATAACGAATAAAACTTGCAACCTATTTTCAATATATGCATAAAAAATGAATATAAATCAAAATATTGCATATATGTTTTTGTGAAAAAGTGTCGATTGTCAGTGGTTATGTTTTCATATTTTTTATTTCTATAATCTACAAACTACAAACCCTCTTTGTTGCAATTTATGCGTACAACCAAACAGTTTATATGTTGTGAACGGTTTCTTTTTAAATTTGGTTCGTTGTTGGTTGGTCTTTAACGCATGGATTTGTTTCTCTGCAATAATAAATGTTGTTGATTAAATAATGTTTAAAAAGTTAATAATAGGTATTTCGTTCAACGAATTAAAATTATTAAGTGACTATTTGGTGTTATTAAAATGACAGAAATAGAGTGTTCCTTCCGATACACAATCGATTGCCGGTCAGCCAAAACGACCTTTTTTGCGACCTGTGACCTGTGAAAATCTTTCTTAGCAGCATGCATGCACAGAAGTTTTTTTTTTTGTATATATTCTTAGATTAGTTGATTAATTTATCTTTTGTCACTCATAACTATTTATGGTAGGGTAATATAAAAAAAATTTTTGCGCCTTCGGTTTTTATTAAACGATTCGCGCCTAAGAAACTTTTATGTATTACTTAATTATTATTTTATCACAAAAAATAAAAAAAAAATCCGAAAATTTATTCAAGAATAATCCAAAAAAATAAATCTAAAATAAATCTAAAAAAATAAAAAATAAAAAAATCACAAGAATAAATCACAATAAATCACAATAAAGAATGAATCACAAACGAGAATAAATAAGAAAACTCACAAAGGAAGAATAAAGTCACAAGAGAAGAATAAAAATCACAAGAATAAATCACAAGAATAATGACGACACTTTTAATCACCGATTGGTCATATGCAAATATTTTTTCACATACGAATACTATTTTTCATACATAAAGAATGAAAAAGTTATTAATATCTGATGCTCACGCGTAACACGCATATATTTACATCAAATTAGGATAACTATAGAATGGAATTCAAAGCAATTTTTAAATTCCGAATTTGATGTTCGGAGTGATATACACATATATACATATTACAGGGTATCAATTTAATACTTTTAAATAATTTTAGGTAACTTTGAAGTGCTTTGAGATACTTCGAGGGACCTCAATAATCCGCATACATCAGTTAAACCCAAGTTGTGTTTCAAAGAATAAAAATCAGGTATATAAACTAATTGATTGTTACCATAAGAGAAAGCGATCAAAATTAACTAATAGATCGTACCTTATGCGGATATTTCATGATGAACGTTTAAAAAATTTAAGAAAAAAAAAAAAGAATTAAAAAATCTGTTGGAAAATCACAAATTTACACCAATAATACTTTAAAGTCACCAGTTACAGTTGTTACTACTACATTAATTACTACTAAACATATTATTATCGCTATTACAATTTACTATTACATTTACTATTACATTTACTATTACATTTACTATTACATTTACTATTACATTTACTATTACATATAATATTACATATTACTGCTATATATTACATATTATTATTACGTTACTGTACTAGTCAAGTCTGTTGTATTACAACTTCGTCTATCAGAAGTCTATTAATTCAAAATTATTCGAATACATATTCAAACTTGTATAAAATTCTGCAAGAAAGTGTTTAATCTAGTAACACGAACATAGAAATTTTTGGTCGTTATGAAATGTTTTGCTACACACGACAGTCGTAATGTGGCCAAGTTTGAACTTTCGTGACCTAGAATGAATGAAAAAAAATTATTAAACCTTTGAGTTTTATTTTTAAAACGAAATAGAAAAATATTAAATGTATATAATATATAATAAATTATTTCAACTTTTAAAAAGTTTTTAAAAGTAAGTTCGTTTATTTTACTTTGTAAATATTTCTATTTTTTTTTTTTTTTTATTGTTATTTTTTTTTTCACAGTTCACGTATCGTATCTATCTCATTTTTATCATGATTTGATAATTATAGTAATATCACATATTTTCTTCAATTTAATTTATTTATTTATTTTGTACATCTTATTTTATATTCAGTTAAAGTAAACTGGACGTACATACATTACAGTTGATTTAATAAATTTAATTTAATAATATAAATTATTATATGGAATTTTTATTTCTGTATTTTTACTTATTTTATAACAAATACTGCAGTACTGTAAGCAACATCAAAATTATTAATATAAAAGGTTACGCTTTCTCCACCTTAACCAAGAGAGAAAAAAAATTTATGAAAAAAAGTTTTTTTTCTTTTCTTGTCCTTTAATAATTTTTTTATAATAATATTCGTATGTCTCTAAGGAAATAAACATTCAAAAAAAAAAAAAAAAAAAAAAAATCAAAAAAACACAACTCTAGTTGAAAACTGATAGTTGTTAAAGTGATATCTAAAGTGTAACTACACTTTGCTATTTTCGTATGAAAACTATTGGTTTTTTTTTTATGACTCTTTTGAAAAACTTTGAAAACCAAAATTTTTTTTCATCTTTTATTTACTTTTTCCGCTTTAATCGTCTCTTATTCAACTTTACGAAAGTTTTTTCTCTTGGCAAAATCTATCTGAAACAAGACAGTTTATAACGTTTATCAAAAAAAAACAAAAAAAAAAAACAAAAAAAAAAAAAAAAGAAAACACAGAGACTAACCCCTTTATTTTTTTTTTAAAACCTTCTGATAATAGTTTCTGTGTTTACGTTTCTTAAATTTTTTTTTTTTCGTAACGTAACTACTATCACGAATAATTTACAGCTTAAAAATCTGACGACTTTTTTTAACATGGTATCTCTTCAACGTTTTCCCGATATGCAAGATCTTACTGATCCTACGAATTTGCAACTTGACTATCGTCAAGATCTTTGTTCGATTTCGAATGTTCCACCGATTCCTATTCTTCATCATCATTCTGCACCACCATATCATCATCAAAAAGAAGTTGAAATGGCGGCTTCTGATTATTGTTTAAATATGAATAATCGAATGTCTTTTACTGAATATTTGGATGAGCATTATATTCCGGATCCTTATGAATTTTACCATCCACAACACACGGCAACTTGTTCTTCTCCAGAAAGTGACAGTTACAGCATGTTTATGGAAGAACCAAAGATAAAAGTTGAATTTCCTGAATCTCTTGATCCATCATCATGTTCTCTTTATAGCGTGTCAAGAAATATACATCAAGATAACTGTGCTGATCTTACAGTCTGTAATCCTTCTAGCATTACTACACCACTTACACCTCTCGATTCACCTCATGATCAATCACCGATCATGTCACCGACAGGTCTTTCAATGTCTCACCATCATATTATAAATGAACAAAGGGATATTATTCCTGAAGTAATGTTAACAAATAGTAATAATAGTCGTGGTGGACGTCGTGTCAGAATTCCATCATCATCAGTTTCATCAGTTCAAGAAATGTTTCAAGATCCACAAGATTTTCATCGTTCAATTATGGGCTCTTTACCCTCACCACCACCAGCACAACCACCAACAACTACAACAAAGTCTACTGGCAAATCAAGAGGACGACGTATGACGAATAAACCTGCAAAACCTGGAACAAAATCTTTTGAATGTCATTATGCAGGGTGTGGACGAATTTTTAAGAGGTCGGAGCATCTTAAACGTCATATTCGTTCGATACATACTCTCGAACGACGTAAGTAATTTTTTTTAAAAAATTTTTTTATTTATAATTTATTAAAATTTAAAATTTATTAAAATTATTCACATTCACGTTTATTTTTTTGTTTATTAGCATTCTGTTGCCCCCACCCACACTGCACAAAGCGGTTCTCTCGGTCAGATAATCTTAGTCAACACATTCGTGTTCATAGACCAAATGGTAAAGAAAAGAACGCGCCCGCGAGAGCTTTTAGTAATTTCACACCTTATTTGCAGACTTATCAGGCTAGCAATGTTCATACGGCGTTACCACAGAACTGAACAATTATTTTTATTTTTTTTATCTTTTTATTATTTTTTTTTTATATATTATTTTACTATACGATTATACGATTAATAAGATCGTTAAACAAATCAATGTTTACATTAGTTTGTTTACTTTAATTTTTTTTTCTTTTAATCTGTTCCTCTTTTTCTTTTTCTTTGCCTTTACTCGGACATTGGTGGATTTTATTGTAATCAAAATTATAACTACTTACTACTAGTTTAGTGGCGATATATGCGATATGGAATATACTATAGTACAAATTATTATACTTTTATTATGCTATTATGATTGATGAAACGTATTATCAATGCATCCTTTTTTCGTCTTTTTTTTTCGTATATATATTTTTTTTCTTTTCTTTCTTATTATACATTATCTCGTGATAAAATTGTATAGTTTTTTTTTTCAAATTTATATTCAAGATTATAATCGTAAGTTTTTTTTTTATAACCTATTGTATAGTTTTTCCATAACGCTTATTTTTCATCACGTTATTCTTTTGAGCTATCAAATCAAAAATTATTCTTTGTATATCTCTTGTTTTTCTTTTAACATTTCGAAATTGATGATGTACGTATTTGACATTCTTACACTACGATATCGATAAATAATATCACAAGTTTTAAATTCTACATACATGCGTGTTGTACGTGTATGCGTATATGTATATATGTGTATACTTTTCTGATATATGTCTGATATATGTCTGATATATGTCTGATATATGTCTGATATGTGCGTACGTAATTGAAGTTTCTAAATTATGACTAACTATGAACTGAATGATGACTAACTATGAACTGAATGATGACCAAATTAAGTGAAATATCTAAATTATTATATTTTTAAAAATATCGACAATAAATTCTTCAAGAAGAATCTCACATGATACAACATACAACAAGATAGTATTTTCTAAAACTATCTTTATTTAATAACAGTTAAAAAAAAATATTTAACAGTTAATTAAAAAAAAAAAAAGTTTTTTTTTTGTACGTAAAACGAAATTGTCTAATTAAAAATTATAAAAGGAAATAGAATTACAAATAAATGATAATTTAGTCATGGCATATATCTATTTTTGTTTATTATGCTATTATTAAAAAGTAATCGAATAAACTTTAAGCCGGCCGGTCAATCTAAAAAATTTTTTCGAACACAGGATCAGAAAATCTTTAATCCGTGCGTATTTGTTTCTTCGTACATAATAAAAAAAGGAAAAATTGAACTAACACAATCTATTTTCAAAAGAATAAAAATTGCGTTACATATGAAACATATGAAACATATAAAGCATATGAAGCATATGAAGCATATGAATTAAAATACAGTTCAACTTTCGACCTATATGAACTTATGAGCTTATGAATGTACACTATGATGAAATTATATGATATGTTAAAAAAAGGGAAAATCGAATTTCGGAAGGTTCGGATCTTCACGGCAATGGACGATTATCAATATCGGTAATGTGATTATGATTCCATTTCTTTGAGAGAAAATAATGAGAAATTTAGAATATTATTCACAAAATGAGAATTAACATATATAAAAATTTTCAATTATATAATGAAATATCAAAAAATATCAAAAACCTGAATTTAAACTTGAGTTAATTAAATCCCAAATACGAAGGACAAAGGATTAATTGAGACTTTATTAAATTGAGAATCCTTCGAGAAGATTATCATTCTCACATAATTCTATTTAATGATTCTATAATGATTCTAGATTCTATAATGTGAAAATATATTACAATATAAGATCCTAATATATCGATACAACTTTATAATTCTTTAATTAATACAATTTGGTATAATTATAGAATTACAGATTAAAGGTTCATACTTACGTACATTACGTATATATCAGATATGTATCAATATCTGTATCAATATCTGATATATACACATACATACATACGTATGTATGTACTGTACTAATAACAGAATAACGATAGTAGTACCAATCTATACTAATTCATACTAGTTTAATATCGTTTTGAGTATGTATGCTATGAAACCAATTCTAGAATATAAAAATGACTATTGTTAATCAACAACTTATTACGTTCAATTCAAAGTTACACTGTTAATTACATTTAAATATGAATAATTAAAATGTAAGTACGAAATAAAATTGGTTTCGAACCTAATAACTAAATTTTGTGTTAATTACTAAACACAAATTTTAATTGGCCTAAAATTAACGTATTACAAATATATTAAGTATAAATTTTTATGCAATCTATATTTATCTTTTATTAGCTATTGTTATCTTACTTAAATGTATTAATAGGTATTAATAGTACATCACACACGCATGCAATTAAAAAAATCTGATGTAGCATAAGTTCTTGTCTATATTAGGTCTACATAAAGATAAAGTCTACATTAGTTCTGTAGTTTCATGCATACTCATTTTACACATTAAACACATTAAAACTAAGTACACAAAAATATACATTTCGGTTATACCAGTTTTTTTAAAAAAACTATAACTAAAATTATATATAGATATATAACAAGTTATCGTTATACGTTATATAACTGTTTCGAAACATAAGGAAAACGTGTGCATGATTTTGTTCTATTTTAGGATGATCAGTCTCATGTGATATGACATTGCATGAGAGACGATTCTGTCAAAGATCACGCACGTAAACTTATCTGTAAACTACGTAAACTTGATTTTTTTTTTATGTCACAAGACTTTATGCTTCTAGGCTTTTGGATTTTTTAAAACAATCATTCTTTTTACACCCATTCTTTTGTTAATCAGTAAATTCTTTTTTGGGTTTTTTTTTAAAACTTTTGATTAAATAAATTTCAATACTGATTAGAGATCATCCGTTTCACAATGTATAAATATTTGACTATAATTTCAAAATTTGTAAAGAATTTAAGTCAAATGGGCTTTTAGTTTTTTCTTTTAATTATGAAAACACCGAGAAAAAATATCACCTGTCATAATTTCCAAATTTGTTTGTTTGATGACTCAGAATTTTTTTTTAAAAAAAAACTTCTTTTAAGAGAATCTCGTGATAAACCTTAACCTTCTTTTATGAGAATTTTAAGTTAGATTTATCGAATTAAAGAATATATTTTTTTTAGAAAAGAAAATATTTAATATAACCTAGAAAATTTATCTCAAGGTCGTTATTATCCTAATTTTGGTTATTCTTGCTTATATTATGCATGTTTTTATTTGGTGATCATAACAAAGATTTTACAAACGTTCGCGAAAATTTACTCTTTTTTGGGGGGTAAAGTGATGCAAGAATATTTTTGTAATATTGTAATATGGTCGCAATATGGCTACAATATGGTCGCAATATCTGATATGGTTGTAATTCGATAATATAGATATAATAATATAATAATATAAAATATAAAATATAATACTATAATAATATAGTAATACTGTATAATACTATAATATAATACTAAATAATATAAAATAAGAATGATGGAATTATGATGATTAAAGAATAGAACATTTTTGATCACTTTGACTACATGACTATGATTCTATTTTTGGAATAATAACAATGACCATATCAACAAAGGGCATTGACCAAGAAAAAAAAAACAAATAGCATTTACGTATAATCCAATCCAATACAAACAAAAATGATACAAGAAATTTTATTTGGATTAATGTTATTTCGATTTTTTTTCGAAATCTAGGCAAACTCCTTGTTCCTGTGATTTTAATACGTAACTAATTTTGTTATATTATATAAAATTTAACAATAGTTAAATATAATATGCTAAACTTATTACGGATATAAAAATGGATGTATGAATGAATGAATTAATGAATTAAAGCAATGACGTATGCTCTCTGTAATTGTATTTTCCATATAGATACTTATCTTTGTTTTTTTTTTATATGACTACGGAGACAGTCAACCGAGGCCATTAATTAATTAAACAAGTTTACAGTTTAGTCTTTTTTTGGAAATCCTATGGTTTTTCTGTACCGCTTTAATGCAAGTTTCTACTGTACATTACATCATCTTTTCATTTTTCTAACTTTAAAGTAATTAAGTAATTATAACCCCACATGATACAAGCAAGCCAAACTCAATAATTAATTTCCGGGATTACGCGTGTCCGCGAATAGTATCAATACGTGTTCGTGTGAAAAAAAAATTGTAAATAAGTGATTATTAACGTTTATCTTTTAGTCAGCAATTATAATTGTTGAAAATCTAATCTCAAAAAAAATTGTAACATTAATTACGTAATTGAAATAATTGAAAGTAGATACGATCAATGTTATGACCAATATTTCGATCATATATTTCGATCGTAAAAAGATCTTAAAAGTGATTTAAATTACATAATATCACTATTTTTCTACTGTAGAAATATCGTAAAATACTGTAAATACTGTGAAATTTTGAAAAATTTTATACTGGTTTTCCCCTGATAGCACTCACCATATATATACCATATATACCATATATATATATCATATATATCTGTATATTCGATATCATTAACGCAGTCAATTAAAAAAATTTACTTGAAAAAGTATATCACACGGTTCACTAACATCAACTAACATCAATGATTACAAATCTCTTATTTATTGATCACCATCATACAAAAATACTATATATAAATATATATAACTTGATCAATAATGAATAAAGGTAATAGTGTTACATCAACTAACAAGTTTAAATTCAGGTATTCTCGCTTCAAAGATACGACCTTATGAATATTTAAAAATAGTTGCAAGCAGTCAATGCTAAAAAAACTATTAAGGGGGATTTAAGGGTGATAAACTTTTAATTTAACGAATGATTAAAATAAGCTAATTCGGATAAAATATGATGTCAGAATACTCTTTTTTTATGGTTATATTTGTTTGTTATTTCTTATAATTGACGAGAGGTGGGGTTGAAAAAGAGCGGAGAAATTTAAAGTTATCGTTAAAAAATTTATTAAACTATATAATTTATACTATATTTAATATAATA